TGCTCCCACAGCCTTCATGTCAGGCTCTGGGCTGGAGTCTAAAGAGCCAACTATCTGGGCTTTGGTGTACTCGATGTTTGAAAAAGCAAAGTTGTTGGCAGCAAAGTTGAGCTGCAAAAGCAAAGTTGTCCTAAGAGGCTCATTGTGAGCCACCAACAAGCCACTTTGACCCAAGATACCTCCCCAGCCAGGTTCTCCCTACTATCCCACATACCACCTCTTTCTTGAAGGGCCTTTTGGGAAGTGGGGATAGGCAACCTTTTCTCTGTGACCATTTGTCATCCCAGAGCTTCTACAGTGAATACTCTTGCTAGCCCTAGGCTGGAGTCTATTGCTGTGGCAGATGACCCTGCCAAGGCTCTGATGTAGAGGGTCTCCTGAGACAAGTAGTCCTCTCTGCTCCCCCTATCCATGGTGAGCTGAAAAACACAGGGGACAGAGACCATAATAGTATAGGGGGTCTCGGGGACCCTGTAGTCCATCCCTCCGAGGGGCTTAAATGTACAGGACCATATTGGGGGAAAGGTTCTGGGTTCTCAGTGAGGTCTGTGTTATCTATCAGCAATGACCTTGAGCCTGAGTGTATTTGGCTGATACCCTTAGACAGTGAGTTGGGAGCATGAGTACCCGGCTCTTTAGTTGGGAGCAGAGGTGTAAGGTTACATGTGGGAGCTCTCAGGTAGTGGACCTGCATTGGAAGCAGACCTCTTCCTTCCAATCTGATATCAATCCTGCTGTGTGCATCCTGCTGGCCAGGCAGGGGTAAGGTGCCTAATGGGAGGTGGGAAAATGCTGCATGCTGAGGGATAAAGGGGGTAAGGGATGGGGAACTGGCCAGGCAAAGTAAGGAGAGAAGCCTCAGTAAGGTGCCATGGGGCCACCCTAGAAAGATAAACAGCTAAGTGGGGTCTTCCAAGAAAGAAAGTGCTGGGGGCCCCCGAGCGCATTAGGGGCTCTCATGTGGACAGCTCAAATCCCAGCAGAGAATGATGGTACCTTGGTGGATCTGGGGTGGCCTTCTATCCTGGGGATACCTGCTCCTTACCCCTGGGGGTTGAGGCAGCTCAAAAGCAGCATTCCAGCAAGCCAGAGGGAAGGCCTGGGAGGTTTGTTACATTTGATACATCAGACTTGTTTGAAACCTTTTTTTCCTTTTCTTTTCCAGAATTTGATTTCTTCAGAAAAGACCTCCTTCTCCTTATTTATATTTAATTGACTTTTATTTAGATTTTAAGTTATGGGTATAGTTTGAGATGCAGGGATGGTGGCTTTTAATGGAATAAAGTACTTATTTTAAGTTCTGTTCCCCATTAATGCTCTGCTCTTGGGGCCAGCACTTGGGTGTGCCCTGAACCTTCCTTCCTTGGGTCCATGGGAGGCTTGGTCCTTTGTCCCCAGCATCCTCCATGCCAGGAAGCACAGAGATGTGCCTCCCGCTCCTCCACACCCTAAGGACCCTATCCTCTAGACCTCTCAATAGTAGTAGGAAGCTGGGCCCTACAGCACCAGAGTCTTGGATCTCCTCATGATACCTGTACCAACCACTGTCCAGCAAGATCAAATGGGACCTGGTTCTACCTGTCTACCACTTCCTTCTGTCTGGCTGGCCTTGTCAACATTGTAAGTCTGTGTGGGTTTTGTCAGTCCACTGGTGTGGTTGAGTTGGTCACTCAGCTACCTCAGTCGCGGGCAGGTAGAGACATGGAGTCAATACACAGACACCAGGAGCTGGTAAGCTGGTGAGAGAGCAGGCAGGTGGCAACCTCAGCTGATGTCCAGCAGCTCACTTAATGTGGAAGTGATTACAATTGATATAGAATGCATCTTCCAGTCATGCATAAGCAAGCATTGGTTTCTAGATGTTATACAACATCTAGAAACCAATCATCTTATGTCTAATGTAACTGCACTATGATGAAGCTCTAAATATTGCTATGTGATGGAAAGCAGTCTGGAAGGATCTTTGTCCCTAGGGGAGGGGCCGTTATGAGTCAGGGGTTTCATGCCCTGAAGCATCTGACTCTAGGTTTCCTGGCCTGGTAGCTTTGCAATGCTGACCTCAAGCACAGAGGATGTAGTTTCACTGATGGCTTGCTAGAGCAGAGCGCCCCATCCTGAAGGTGTTCTTATCAGGCCTGTATGAGCGTAGGTTTTCCTAGCACTCTGAGTTGCTCATAGCTGGTAGCTGCAAACTAAAAGTTATTCCAACAAGTCTGCCCTCTTGACCACGCTCTAATACACACACTGGCCCTTGCCTCATCATTCAGTATCTGTCCAGGTGTCCTGATCTCTGCTGACAAGCAGTGGGCATACCATTCTGCAGAAAAGGAAAATAGCAAGGGGAAGGCTTCAGGCCAGGAAGGACCTGACTGGTTGAGCATGTCACAAGTAGAGACTATATCCCCAAGGCCCAGCTGTAGGCATCAGCCACATCCTGGACACAGAAGTTCCAAACTGAATGGGAATTCAGCATCTTCCACAACTTTCAGGGCAGCAAGGACTTCCTAGTTAGGGAAGTCCTGGGGTTAGTTCTTCCACCCTTCCCAGATGTCTCCTGAGCACCAGAGGAGAGGGTGGTTCCTTCCCTTCCTATTGAAGAGAGTTGTTAACACAAATCTGTGGCCACTGCCAGGGGACATGGGTGCTGGGGAAACAGGCAGGCTGGTGGGAAATATTCATCGTGAGGCATTTGGGCTGCTGGGGGTGGGGTATTTAGCATTTGACAGTCCTTAGGCAGATTGTACATCAGTGAGGAAAATCCTGCAAAGAGTGGTTTGGCAATGAGGACACAGGTAGGTGGGGTGCCTTTGAAAAGGGCAGTGGGCACAATGGGGTTAACTGGATTGGAGGCTAGCTCCTTTCCTCTGACTTCTAGTGGTACCATTGATCATGAGTTGGAGTTTACCCAGGCCTTTCCTGGCTTGGATCAGGCAGGCCTGTCTCCCCAGGCCCTCAAGCTGCTCACCCTAGCCATTTGGAAAAGCTTAGAGGTTGTACAGCTGTCCTTCCATATTCTGTACTCTGGAAAAGGGTTTGTGTGGGATGAGCCACCTCAGGATAGCCTCAGGGCTCAGCTCTGGGCTGAACACCTTCTTGGACTCCCACACTACCAGGCATCAGCTACCAGGTGTAATCATGTAAGAACCTTTGCTTTGGCACCACCCAGGGTCATGGCTCTAGTATCATATACTTATAAACTCAAGGTCTGTTTCTGGTCCCTGCTACCCAGGCCCTGCTGAGGACCTCTGGGTAGTGGGGCCCTCACTGTAGCTTCCATTGATGAGGACTTAGGCCATCAGAAAGTTCAACCTCCCCAGAATTTCCACCTGCTGGCTCCCCTGTGACTTACTGGAATTTACTCTGAGCACTTCTGAGCCCACATCCTTAGGGCTCTTTCTCCTCCCTAGGATGGGGAACCTGGCCAGGCTTGGGAGGCTCCTCACTATTATTGGACATGACCCAAGCATTTCTGGGCAGAGCTCTAGAGGCTAGGTTGGGGGCAGATGCCAAGCCTTCCTGCTGCCTGGGCCTGAAGCACCTTGCTCTCCCCTCCCCCACTGCTCTGTTCATCTCCTGGTCTTTTGGTAGAAAGTAAAAGTGCACAAATTCAAAGTGCCTAAAACAGGGTTAGAAACTATGATTTCTCCAACTAGAATAGATGGCTCTGCCCTGCCCTTCTGGAACAGCTCCCACCAACACAAAAAGTTGGAAGAGCCACACAGTCTGTATCAGACTGGGCTGGCTGCCAGGCAGCAGGGTAGGCAGAGACCCTACACAGAGCCATGCTGTGACTGGCAGAGGAGCCAGGACAAGGGGCTGGAGCAGAGCCGAGGTAGTCTGGGCAACAGGCCTCTTCTCCCCATGGCAACACTGTTGTCCCTCCAGCAAACCTTGCTAGACCGAACACATCCTGGATTCACTCCTTCCCACCCTGCTGTTGGAAAGGGCCTGATTGGCTTTGTGCAGATGTCTGGCTGCTTGATGTTACTCAGAGCTAGGCAAGCCATGGAAGGGCAGGTGGAAAACCTCATTTTTGGTTCATAGGGGGATTGTGTCTTTTCTGGGGGAAGCAACCAGGCTGCCCACCCTCGGTACTTCCCACATTTCAAGTCCCCACTTCCCAGTCTTTTGCTGGGTATTTCAGCCTGATCCTCTACTAGGGTCTGCCTCCATCCCTTCCAGCGGTGACCTCATGACAGCCTGGGGCTCTTCCTATCTTCCTAGGTTGTGGTGATCTAGGTTGTTTGTCTCCTACCTGGTGGGAGGATGATGAGGTGGCAGGAAGGACTAGGGAAAAGGTCATGGAGCCCTAGGGAGCAGCCCTGAGAGGTCCTCATAGGAGACTTCAGAGATGAGTCTGCGGATGGGTGGGTGAATGGAGGTGCTGGGCACAGGGATAACTAAACAGGACAGTACGCAGGCCGGAGTGTTAAAAACATTTACTAAGCAAATTCTTAACCTCCCGACCCCCACCCCAGCTACAAAGAGGGCAGTGCCCCAGCTCATGTTCTGGTGCCTACAAGCCTCGCCTGTGGTGGGGAGAATGATGGGTGTGAGACAGGGAGGTCCAAGCCAAGTCCCTCGGTCCCTTGAGCCCACGCGCCGAGAAAAAAAAGGCTGTTTTTTACACATCCCTTCAGCAGCCCAGATTTGGGACTGTGGGCTCTGCTCTAACGAATTCAGTCAGAGCTGCAGGGAACTAAGGCAGCATGCAAGACCCCACCCACCCACCCAGGGTCGGGAAGGAATTGGCATCTGCAGTGCCCACTCTGCCAAAGGAATCCAAGAGTCCTACCCATGTCATAGTCATCTCAGCGCGTGGAACAGAAAACTATAAAGTCCTCACAAGTACGCGTCGTCTGTTTAGTACAGGGCGAGGGCCAGAGCTTGGTTGGTGGAGGTCACAGAGAACGGGGTTCAGACCCTGGCAGGTCCTGTCAGTACGCAGAGCCGATGTTCCACGATCTGTGCGCGGCTCAACCCTGCGGCGGCCGTCTGTGCGCTGCGCTTCGGTCTGGTCCTTCCGTTCGCTCACTTGGCTGCTGGGAGGGACACCGCTGTACCTTGCGCCTTCAGACGTAGTTCTTCTTGTCGTAGTCACCGCTGGCCGTCGGCCGCCGAGGCGCAGAATACTTGACTGGAAAGCTGAGGTCCGGGCGGCCAGCGCAGACCCAGGCTCCGCAGCACACCAGGCCGCCACCGCACATGAGCAAAGCAGAGGCCGCCCACCCGATGTACAAGGCTGCACCCAGCTCATGCTTCTGTGACACTGGCACCGCCGGGTCGTAGAACTCACGGACTACGATGTTGGCGAACCAGCAGAGTGGCACAAGTGCCAGCAGCCCGCACAGCGCATAAAGCACGCCGCCTGTGAGAGCCACGCGGGCTTTAGCTGGGCCTGGGGCCACACAGGTAGTGCACTGTGCGCCCGCCAGGCTTACGAAGAGCGCAACCAGCGCCAGTAGCACCGCGCTGACGGTGAGCGCCCTCGCCGCCTGCACCTCGGTGCTCAGTGCCAGCACAGACTCATACACCTTGCACTGCATGTGCCCTGTGCTCTGCACCACGCATGACATCCACAGCCCCTTCCATGTGGTCTGCGCTGTCACAATGTTGTGGTCCAGGAAGGCGGTCACCTGCCACATGGGCAGTCCGCATGCCAGGATCAGGCCTACCCAGCCCACTAGGCACAGCACCAGACCCAAAATTTCTAACGCTGCTGACCCCATGTCTGGAGACGAGGTGCGCGCGCTCTGGCCCCTGGGGCTCCCGGAGCGAGCCTCACTGCTTTGGGGATGCGACTCGGCGCCCTGCGCCCACCCTGGTACCCTGGTTCGTTTGCGCCCACTCAGCCACCTCACCACCAGCAGTCTGCTTACCCTGCGGGCCTGCGGCACTGCCTCAACTCTGCTGGAGCCTCTTGGGGCCCACCTTTTGAAGTCTCGGGGGGCGGACTCTGCTTCCTGGACCCAAACTCACAGACCACAGCAGCCAATCCATACGCTGCCATCAGCCCGCAACCAATCCCAGGCTTCCCTTAACCCCATCCCCCCCCCCCCCCCCCCCCCCCCCCCCCCCCCCCCCCCCCCCCCCCCCCCCCCCCCCCCCCCCCCCCCCCCCCGCCCGCCCCGCCAGCTGGAGTTAAGTGAACAATTGCGCTTGAGGGTAGCCGACAGCGCCCCAGCCGCTTTTGGCCCAGCCCCTACCTCAGAGCCCCAACCCTGCTGTTGTCCTACTCGCGGTGGGGCGCATTCTGGGATGGTCTGGAGCGAACCACCTCTTGCATGTCCCAGACCTGCCACTTTAAGAGATATATAACCTCCAGCCTGTACAGTACCACGCTTACATCTTGAACTCTGATGGTCCTTCCCACCCGGACCAACTGCATTCATCCCCGACCAAGGTCTGCAGGAGCCTCCTATCCCAACACCACCGCGAAGAGGCCTGGTGCGGGAGGAGGAGGGCGGTGTCACAGGTCCTTCTCTTCTCTCAGGTGAGACACCTAGGTCTGCCTCCAGAGTCTGCCCTGTAGTCCAAACTAGGCGCGTTTTCTGCACTCTCATTCTCCAGTGCATCTCTGAGTCCGAGGCAGAGCTATAGTGGTCGGTCCCAGGATCCCAAATTCAAAGTCCTGCCCAACACAACCACCTTCATGATTTACTGCCTCCCTGGAGCCTCAGGCTCTATCCCAAAGTGGGCGGCGCAGGGGACTTTCCTGAACAACCCCGACTTTACCCCTGTGAGGGAGGGGAGCTTCCATAGCCCTCAACTTTTGCCTGGCTGTTCCTTTTCCCGTGATGATGCCCATCCCCCATTCTTTGAGGCCCAGCTCAGGCAACAGCACTTCAGGAAGTCTCCAGTGTTCCTCAGTTACCCAGCATATAGGCTGTGCTCCCACGGGCAGCAGTGGCCCCATGCTGGGCAGCCTACTCCCAGTCCTTGAACAGAAGAAACAAAGGGACACAAAAGGCCTGTGTCCTGCCCTCCCACTAGTGTCGGTGATGCCCTGCCACCCCAGCCCCCAGGCCACCTTCCGGAAGCCAACTTGGAGTTTCCTGACCAGGAGGAAGAGCCCCCATCCTCGCTGGAGGAGGGAGGTGCGGGATTTCCGGGCATTCTTCTGCACAATGGCCCAGCCATTTCTTGAAAGGTCCACTGGGGTGGACACATTGAGCCCCCTGAGGCTCAGGTGGGGGCACCAGACCCCACAGCCCACAAACCCATGGGGGCACCAGCCCCTTTCCAGCAGTCCCTCCCCATTCCCTGAAGACTCCTTTGTTCTCAACCAAGTCTGGACTGTCAGCCCTGGACTGAGACTGCAGGATACATTTTTTTTCCTCTGGTCCAAAGTGCTCAGGCCCTCCACAGAGAAGGGATGATATTGTTGATGCCAATCACAGACATGGGGGCTTTGATAGATCTCTCCCTCCCAGGGCCCAGATTCCTTCTCTTAAGGTAGCTCTGAGGGCTGGGGATTTGGCTCAAGCGGTATCGCGCTTGCCTGGTGTGCATGCGGCCCGGGTTCGAGCCTCGGCACCACATACAAAGATGTTGTGTCTGCCGGAAAAATAAATAAATAAATATTAAAAAGTTCTCCTAAAAAAAAAGGTGACTCTGAATGGAGTAAAAGAGATAAGACCAGAGCCTGGTTCATCCTATCTGGGGAAGTACTGAAGGCAAGTTTTCTGGGCCTTGGAATGGGAGTGGGAGCTGTCGTTTTAGTCAGCTTTTTCACTGCTGTGACCAAAAGACCTGAGAACAGTTTTAGAAGAGGAAGAGTTTATTTTAGGGCTCACAGTTTCAGTAATCTTAGCCCTTAGATGACCAACTCCATTCCTTGGGGCTGAAGTGAGGCAGAATATCATGGTGGAAGGGTGTGGTGGTGGAAAGCAGCTGGAATAGCTCTGCTTAACCAATACAAAATCTATATCCCAGAGGCATGTCCCCAGAGAAGCACCTCCTTTAGCCCTTACCTGCCTACAGTTACCATCCAGTTAATCCCTAGAGTGGATTAATACTGATTAGGTTAAGATTCTCATAACCCAATCATTTCACTCCTAAGCTTTCTTATATTGTCTTATGCAAGAGCTTTTTGGGAGACACCTAATGTCTAAACCACAACATCTGTCATCCTCACTTGTCTCCATCCAGTTTTTCCCTGCAAAGTGGGATACCTCCTCCCAACTACTCTGTAACTTGGTACTTTCTTCCTTCTGCAGACCTGTGGACTACTCCCTTTTTTGTAGGTCCTCCTAGATGTCCCCTTCCCTGACCACTACAGGGGCCCATACTCTCAGTCCTGCTTTCCCTTGGCCCAATCCAGGGACCTCGCTAGCCTTCCCACCACCTTCAATGCCACCATCTTCTTGGGACAACTACTGCAGCCTTTTCAGGTCACACATGGTTCACCCTTGCCCAGCTGTTCTACCCTGTCAGGCCCCTCTCCTGGATCGTATGCAGGGGAGTATATCCCTGCCAGCTTAGCTGCCAGGCTCCATGTGGCTCTGAGCACACGCTTCATGCTCCAACCAGGCTCACCTTCCTCTAAGTCTCAAACTGGTCTGTCTGGCATCCATGATCCCTCCTGTCTACAGTGCATTTTCTTCCACTTAATCCTCAATAGGGTGGTCATCTTCATGAATCAGTTCCAGGAAGAAGGCTGCCTGCTGCTCCTCCAGCTAGCTTGAGACTTCAACCAGCCCAAGGCTCTCCTTTGGGCTATCTACTATTGTCCCTCTCTCCACTACTTTGGGACCATCCCCATTCTGGCACCCCAGATGGCCCTAGTGAGCTCATGTCTCTCTGGTGTAGAATCTCAGGCTCCACATGTTGGTCATGGTCCTGACCTGCAGTAAAACCAGAGCCACTGCAGAGGCCTAGAGATGGCATCCAGGGTTGCTCTCTTTAAACCTATCTCCAGATCAAGGATTGCCTCCAGTGACACAGTTCAAATCACCAGGACATACCCACCATTCCTTCCTCTCATTGAGGAGCTGACCAACTACTATGTGCCTAGCACTTTCTCTGCCAGAGCACACAGCACAAGAAGCTGAAGGAACTGACGATAAACCAATAACTGGTTAAGAAACAGATCAGTAAAGGCCTCTCAGAAGAAAGAAGTTTCCAGTAGAACAGAAGGAAGTGCTGGTGCAAGATCTTAAAAATGCTTGGGTGCATTTTGGGCTGGGGTGTAGCTCACCTAGCATGCATAAAGTCCTGGGTTCAATCCCCAGAAGCCCTCCCCAGAGCCCTGGGGTAGGGCTCTGCATCAGTTAAGGGGGTGGGGAGCAGAAGGAGGCAGGAGTGGCCAGAGTGCTGAGGTGGGACAGGGCCTTACAGGCCAAAGTCAGAAGGTGCCCAGGGCTGTTCAGGGATATGAATCCTGATCTCTGGTGAGGGGCTTCTAAGGCAAGCCTGGCCAAGGCCACCTGCTCTTTCACAGCTATTGTTCTGCTCTCCCAGGGGAAGTGCCACAGGATCTCATTAATTGTGTGAGAGAAAGACCTGAGTCTGCAGAAAAGCAAAGTTTATCTTGAGCAGCTGCTGGCTGACCCTGCCCCACAGGGATCCTTTGACCTTCCAAGGACAATCTAAGTTTAGGCTTCAAGTTCCTGAGGATTGAATTTTTGGAGGTCCCAGTTAACAGATTTCATTTCAGGGGAAGTGAAAAACAGTATTCCTTCTATCTTTTGGCTTTGAAACAGTTAAGGATATTTCCCTCCAATTCAGCAGATGTTTACAGAATCTCTAAACACAGAGTGCTGCCTGAAACGCTTTCTTGGCAAGAGCCACTGCTCCTGCCTGAGGATAAAAGCTTGGGACCTCCTGTGTCACTGACAATTGGGCTGGGTGCCTGAAGTGTCCTGTGTGGGAGGACACAATTACCTGCGAAGCTATGAGGAGCACCCTGAGTGGGTACCCAGCCTCAGTTGTTGTTGATATTGTTATTTTCTGTGGTCAACAGCAGACAAGGAGTCAGATTCACTCTTATAAGCAGTCAAATTTCTAGTCTAGTGACCTGGTCTCTCTGTGCTTTAGTTTCCCCATTGATAATGAAGCCATCTGTTGTGGAGTTTATGAAGTTGCAGGAGAGGCTGATGCCAATCCCCAGACTTCCCCTGCCATTTCTGAGAGCCCTCCAGGTGGTAAGAGTCACCCCCACCCACCTCCCTTGATTTCTTTCTTCCTTTTTTTTTGGGGGGGGGGTACCAGGAATTGAACCCAGGGGTGTTTAATCACTGAGCCACATCCCCAGCCCCCATTTTTGTATTTTATTTAGAGACAGGGTCTCTCTCTGAGTTGCTTAGAGCCTTGTTAAGTTGCTGAGACAGCCTTTGAACTTTCAATCCTCCTGCCTCAGCCTCCCAAGCTGATGGAATTTGTGTGCCACCACAACCAGCTGGCTCCTTTTATTTTAAGCTCATCTGAGCCCAGGCCCTTCTCTCAAGGTTGGTACCATTAGCTGTTTGTCAAAATCAGAGGCCACCGTACTTTAACTTCCTCAGTGGGTAGGTAAATGGGGGACAGAGTGCTCTAGCTGACAGAGCTACCAAGTCCAGCAGATCTCTTACCCTTTCAAGAACCACACCAGATGTTGGTCTCTGCTTGGTCCAGGGCCTCCCTGCAGGATCTCCCAACTGAGGTCGTGGTAAAGTGGAAGTGGTGCTCCAGGGCTTGAAAGCTGGCCTCCAGTCCCTTCACTCCTCACACCTGCAGCACTCCTGTGGCCTCTCTTCACCTTCCTTCTCTGCATGCTGTATTTTGCAACAATTTCATATTCTTCTTAAAATCTTGGAGTCATGGTAGATTCTCCTTTGTCACTTGGCATCATATCACAAACTCTTCCCTACTCTGTTAAAAACACCCTCATGATTGTTTGTTTCCAGCAGATCAGGATGGAATCAGTCTCTGCCACTCA